ATGTGTTTGCGGAGGTGAGAGACTCACAAGGATTCAGGCTGGTGAGGTCAGACAGCCACAGACGTCACTAGGCAAAGCAACCTACAGTAGTTTGGCACGGTGGCAGTGCTTGTAATCCACATAGCGTATAATGGTTACAGTTAACGTTCATTTGGGGCCATTAGTGAGACTCCTCAGAGATGATGTATGTGTTCTCCTGCCAAAATGTGTGGGTTGATGAGACCATCCAAAGTTGGTTCATCGTTGTAAATTCTTACAAAACAATGAAACAGAGCGTATTCTCTTCTTTAGTGTGACGCAATTGCCCCCTATAGAAATTTTCAAAAATGATCCCCCCTACCAACAATGGCTACACTGATTTGGATCTGGACGCTGCCCCTAAAGCAAAGATGTTACAATATGAGGAGACCTTAGACCCTTTCCCTGTTTGTCCGTAGGAGCTCTGACAACTGTGCACTTAGGGTCATCTGGCAAAGAGGGAGGCTGAGGCTTTTGGGACCTCTCATTGATAGTGTCAATGACTCCATGGAAAAGGAAAGCGAAAACAATGAAAGGCCTGCCGCCAAAGTCAGCTGGCTTACTCCAGCCAGAGTGGGAGACAGATTGTGTGTGTGTAGTGGTGTGACTTTGTGAATGCATAATGTGTCCAACGTGTGACCAGTCCAGCTTTTCACAGCTCAGTGCCCGTGACTGACAGCACAGAGAACCTGGAAGTGACAAGGAGCAGGGGAGGTCACAGGAGAGGGAAGGGGGGAGGAAGTAAGGGGAGATTGAATGTGTCCACTTGTCTCACGCGATCTGGAATCACTACAGCACCTCGCATCATTCTGCTTGATCCAGCTTGTACTGCGTCACCTCGTAGGAATGCAATCCATCCACCAACTTGGAAGTAGAACAGTGTGATAATTTGATACTGATAACAATATGGTGTCATGGCAGTGAAGGACATAATGGTGGGCTTTGACCTCCAGAGGGCCTTTGAAGATGAGTTTATCATGAAGATTTTCCATCACTGTATGTGCTATTGCAGCATTTGCACTGCCATAGCATTCCTCTTTGCTTGTTGCAACCGTCCTTTACTCTTTGTGTGTTTGTGGTTTGATGGTTTGTACAGCAAATACAGTGTTTAGCTGAAGACTCACTTCTTCTGTGGCTCTCATGTAATTTTTCAAACGGGCCCTTGGATTTTCAGAAAACAGACATTTGTTCTGAGACAGTTTACATGATTAAATATGAGCTAAAATAAATAAAACAGTGAGAAACAAGTCTCAAAAATGTCCTGGACATTCCAGAGCTCCAGCTCCAAAGTCTGCTTTCCGCAGGTCTGTCGTCAGTTACAGTGGACCTCTGCATTGGAATTCTTTGCTCTCTTAAATTAAACCCTTCACCAGGCCCAGCGGGTTCACAAAGTAGATTAATGGGGAGAGGGGGAGAAAAAAGGAGGAGATAGAAAGGAGCGGACAAATCCATCATTCACTTCTCACGTTTGGCTTCCTCTGGTTGCTGCTATTAGCACCTCACGTTTGGTCGGCGCAACTCCTTCATAACTTTTGGAGAGGAAAGAGAGAGAGAAAAGAGAAAATGACGGAGAAACGGGGAGAGCAAGAGACTGAGAGTCGAAGACAATGTTTTGATTAATGTTTCTTGTACTCCTCTGGTTCTGAAACAGAAGATTACCTTACCTAACCCCAATGGAGCATGAGCAGGACGTTTCAGTTTGGAGATTGAAACCAGATATGTCTGTTCACACTGGCTCACATCCATCACTTGTACTGGACCAGAGTTTAAGAACATGACTAGTCACTGAAAGATCTAGTCATGCTGTCTGGCCAGTTTTATTCCAGTGTCAGACTTCAATTTCAATACCGATGCACATGAAATGGTACAGAAGGAGGCAATGAGCCTGTACCTCATCACATTTTCATTCCTGTAAAAACAAGACTCCTTCCTTGTCAGAGAAGGTCTAGACTTGTGTACCCTCACTGAGATCATTCTTAAGCAAGCCGCCGCAAATTAATCACCACCATTGGGCGATGCTCAATTATTCACTGCCACATCATCCCAAATGTCACCTCAACAATCTGCAGGTGCACTTGTCACTGCACAGCTGTGAAAGCCAGTGGTCTTTTCTGAATGGAATCTGGCTAGCTAGCCATGTGTCTGTCACACTTTCTTTTCTTTTTTTTAAATCTAAATGGAGGAAACTATGATGCATTGCAGTTCTGCATCACTTACCTTCCAATTTCTTTTAGCCCTGAGTGCTCCCCCCCTGTGTAGTATTGGGTTTCTGTCGTACCCATCATGTATTCAGAGTGTTTACCTTTTTGTAGGGTTTGCTGGTCCAAGGTCTGAAGGCAGTTGGGGTTTCAAGTGATCTCTCTGGCCTCCTATTATGCCTTGAGAGTTACAGAGAAAATAAGCCACTACGTTAGTCTACAAAAATCCTTCAAATCAATCAACCAAATACTGGGAGCAGCACCAAAGAAAAGTGATGATTTGCTATCAGGATCATGGTGCAGACTTTCCATGTGTGTGGCTCTTGACAACAAACAACGTTGGTGTCGACTTCCAATAATGTGTTAGCGAAGACAGGTCTATTTGTGTGAGCTGATGTGCTGTAAAAATAGTACTCCAACAAAAGCATGCTTGTTTGAGTTGACAGGATGGTGTAAATATGGCTAAACAGAGAGCTTTTGGACAAAAACTCTACCCTCCTCCCAATATATACAATCAGGGGATGGAACCGACAATGGTCCAGATTTTGTTAGCGTGTCCTCTCACTTTGAGCTTGAAAATGCACAACCTTCAGAGTAGTATTTGTTACTTGAGAGCGTTTCATTTTCCCGGTGTCTAGTGATATCAGAACTACATACTGTAAAGTTTCTTTTCCTTTCATCCTTGTCTAAACCTTGCCCACAGCCTGCACTCATGGTCACACATACACACACACACACACACACACACACACACACACACACACACACACA